GCACCTGGTTGGATGACCTTGGGCAAGCCATAGTTCTGTCAGAGGTGTTCTTGAAAAAAGAGCAGTTTCTGTCAGAGCTCTCTCAGCCCCACCTACCTCACAGGGTGTCTGTTGTGGGGAGGAGAAGGGAAAGGAGTTTGTAAGCCACTCTGAGACACCTTTGGGTAGTGAAGGGCGGGGTATAAATCCAATCTCCTCTTCTTCTTAAGGCCTTTGCCTTCTCTAGGTCTGAAGAGGACAGGAGGAAAGGAGGGTGTGTGTGGTGAGAAAGAGATCTGTGGAATGGAAGTCCTGTCTGTGGCGTGACTTGCACAGCCTCACCCTTTTGTGTGACAGGTATCAATGTAGTATCCTGTGTCTGCATATGGACAATTCTAAATATGGATATTGGATCAATAGATACACCAAATATGGTACACAGGCTGATGTCAGTGGACCAACTCAGTAATGATCTTTTAGGCTGCAAGTGACTGTGCCCCCTTTCATTGCTAGCTATACAATGTCTAATTCACCATTTCAGTCAGCTGTATTTCTGCAACACCATTTGTTACCTGCTGGGTTCTAAGATTGCAGCTGTCTTCCAATTCTGCTGTTGTACCCCTGAGAATTACATGGATACTGAAAGGATTAAAGATAAAAGAAGACAAATATAAATTACAGGCATTCGCAGATGACCTGGTATTTATCCTAGAAGATCCAATTACCTCAATACCTCACCTGATAGAAACAATGCAAACATATGGGCAAGTGGCAGGTTTAAAAATCAACTATAAAAAAACTAATATAATAACCAAAAACTGCACACAGAACGAAAGGGAACAAATACAAAGAAATTCCATGATGGAAATAGTCAAAAAGTAAAATATTTAGGTATCATAATATCTAAAAGAAATAATATGCTAATAGAAGATAATTATGAAAAGTTGTTGAAGGATATTAAAAAAGACTTTCAGATATGGAAAGATTTGAATCTATCATTCATGGGGAGAATTGCTACATTAAAGATGAATGTTCTACCCAGATATTTGTTTTTAGTACAAAACTTACCTATTTTGAGAAACAAAAATTTCTTTAAAGACTTGGACAAAATATTTAAACAATTTGTATGGCAAAAGAAAACAGCATGAATTCAGTGGAAAATACTTCAAGAAAAAAAAGAAAGAGGCTATATGGGAATACCAAATTGGAATCTATATTGCAAAGCAACAGCTATGAGTTGGATTAAAGAATGGCTGACTTTAGAAAATAAAAGACTGCTAAACTTGGAAGGACATAATTTGGTAGTGGGATGGCACGCGTACATTTGGTATGAAAAAGACATAATACATAATAGCTTTCAACAACATACGTTACACAGAGCTTTAATAAAAGTTTGGAAGGAAATAAAAGAGCGGTATTACGATAAAATACCTAAATGGGTTTCACCAATGGAATCATTTATAAAACCAACATTACTTACAAAACAGACAAATATAAAACTTTATTACATAGAAACATTTTGAAAACTCAGGAGGAATTATGCATACAAAATATAAAATTGACCTGGTGGGAAAATACTCAACTAATTACCAGATACAATAAAGATAAAAAGATTGGCTTCCAAGATACAAAAACAGATTTAGACAAAATTTGGTTGTCCTCAAGTGATAAAATGATACAGAAACTATACAAATTTCTCCTTGACAAATATTTACAAGATGAAGTAGTGAAGACTCCAATGATATCCTGGATGCAAGACTTTGGTCATAATATTGATATAGATGATTGGTCCAAAACATGGAAAATGCTAAAATTTACACGAGCAACCTCATATAAAGAAAACATATATAAAATGTTTTACAGGTGGCACTGGTCACCCAATAAATTAGCCAAACGCTATACAAACACCTCCCAAAACTGTTGGAAATGTAAACATAGTATAGGTACTTACTATCATATGTGGTGGAGGTGTAATATAACACAAAATTATTGGTGTAGAGTACATAAATTAATAAAAGAAATTATAGATTTACCATATATACCATAAAATTTCTCGTTAAATGTTACCAGATGAATGTAAAAAAAGATCAATATGTTATAACATATATGTTAACTTCAGCTCGTATTGTGTTTGCCAAATGTTGGACATTAGAGAAAATACCTTCAAAGGAAGAACTAATTCATAGGTTGTTGGATATAGCGGAAATGGATAAATTGTCATTAATTTTACAAGGAAAAGACGAAGATTTGTTTAGAGATAGATGGTATAGATTATACACCTGGTTAGAAAACAAGCATTGTAATAGATTCACAGTATTGTAATCAAGTTAATGTAACTGATACATGTATCAGTGATGATGTGAAATTTTTAAATAAAACTCTTTAAAAAAAAGAATTACATCAATACTGTACTGTTCTTAATTGGTTTCTATCTTTCCTTTAATGCATTGCTGCAAAGCACTATGTGCTTGGGACGATCCAAGATATAGTTCTCCCCCAAAGCTCCATCTTTGCCTTCAAGACTATAACGTAGCTGGGAGAAGGAAACTTTTCCTTTTATTTACATTGCTTCGGTTGCCTGTCTAAAGCTCGATGCCATTCTCTTGTGAAATACAGCCAAGTAGTGGCCCAGACTCCAGTTGTGACTTCTCCACAAAGCAATTTTTTCTGTCCCCTGAAAACTGTACATATTTTCAAAAAAACATTTATTTAAACTTTCATTTGATATGAATAAAAAAAGCAGTAATGTTTAAATGCAACACAAAGACAAACTTTCATGTCATGAAGATGCCAAGCATCACCAGCAAAACCAAATGTACCAAAAGTATAGTTAAATATTTGTCCATGGTATCACTTGTGGGAGGAGGGGGCATTTTCAAAGTGAGAAGTCCACTCTTTCTTACCAGAGGTGACACACTACATCACTCACGTTGGGGGCGTGGCCCCGATCGTCGAAGGGAAAACCCCTCCGACGATCAGGGCCACGCCCCCAACGTGAGCGACGTAGCGCGTCGCTTCCTGTGACGTGCGCACGCACCGCCGGAGAGCTCCCGGAGCCCGGCAAGGCTCCCCCGCCACCAAGGTAAGTACACTTGGCAACCCTACCTGTCTGCCATGGAACCCTATATATTGTAGAGGATTCTGGGATGGCGCTAGGGCATATACTTATCTCACAAGGAACACAGGCATGCCTCCTTGGTCTCACCATCACATTGTGCGATCTGGGAGAGCACTTCTGTACATATCCAACTGTCTACTGTCGTAAAGATCAGCAATAGTAACCATCAATAATCTGCTCATTGAGAAATCCTTGAGAAACTTCTGAAGGATCCCGAGATTCCCTATTACACAGTTTGAAAGCCAGTGATTCATGGTGATAATACACAGATCCGTAAGATCTTAGTGGGAACAGGATTAACAACAAATAAATCTATACTGAAGGCTGTAGTGAAAATACGCAATGAGCATCTTCCCTCATTCAAAGGGTAACCTGTAAAAGAGGTGTCAGACTGAAAAGTCACTTTCTGTTTTCTTCTAGAATTTATTAATGTTAAGTAAACAAAGTTTGAGTCCAGTGGCACCTTTAAGACCAACAGAGTTTTATTCTAGGTAGAAGCACGCACACTTCTTCAGGTACAATGAAATGGAAATTACCAGTCCATACATGTAGGTATAGCTACCCACCTGAATCTATCTTAATATTAAGTAAGAAATTGTAATGTTATATCTGTCTTCCTCAGATTTTGCCAAATTTTTGATTGGTTGCTCAATAGTAAGGCAATGCAATTTAGCACAGCAGTCCCCTGATGTCCTGTCTTGACCTGTGTAACTCATCCAGAGTTGTTCCCTCCACCCATTTTTTTTAAATCCCTTCATTTAACTCTCCTATTTAGATATTCAGAAGTAGTCATTCTAGAGCAATGGGGGGGGGGGGGAGGATTAAACAGAGAGGGATTCCTTGAGACGTTGCACCCTTCAGACTGAGAAAGAAACTACTTTAGAAATGTCAGAGATTAAATTGGCCTTTTTAAAATTCTAAATTGTTTCCTTAGTAGTAGTGTTACATTTGCTTAACTTGTTTCCTCACACATTCATACACTATTGCCTCAGTGAATTAATGAGAATGGCAAAGTGTTGTTTTTTAAAAAAAAGAAAGATGCATATTTCTGAGCTTGGGACCAGTGTTCCCTCTAAGCTGAGTTAGTGTGAGCCGGCTCACAGTTTTTTAGCCTCCGGCTCACACAATTTTTGTCTCGGCTCAGGAAGGATGGCTCCAGAGCAAACCAATTTATGCAGTAGCCAAATCGCTCGCTCACAACTTTAATGCCAGGAGCTCACAAAGTAGAATTTTTGCTCACAAGACTCCACAGTTTAGAGGGAACATTGCTTGGGACCACAGAAAGAAAAGTTACAATGTAGAAGCATACACCACCCTTGGAAAGCAGAACTGCCCTAGCAGTGGCTTTCTAGAGGGGAGGGCTTGAGCAGGACTCTTTGTCGTTAGAAACCAAGGTTAGGCTGTGACTGTTGCCACGATTTTTTTAATCTAGGAGCAGGATGGATAGTTTGATATTACTACCAGTATCATTATATATCTTTCCCCATTCTCTTAGAAGGGATGTTTGATTCTATATCTTTGACCTTGATACCTTCATTTCTGAACCTCACTGAGCTTTTTGCTTCTATAGGACAACCAGTTAGTGTGACTCTTCACTTATTCTTTTGTGTTTTTTTTTTAAAGGATTAACAAAATGTAGTTACCTTTATTTTACTGATACCTTTTTAAATGGTTGAGCTTAATTTTTTCTTAGTTTTGTTGTTTACCATTTTCTACTCAAAATATCCAAACACAGTTTATAAATGAGTGACAATATTTCTTTGGCATGCTGAACCTGAATATTGGCACTGATATAAGTGCAGTTGGACCCAACCTTGTATGCCATTTATTTGGCTTCTGTTAATGCTGTATACTTTTAAAATATCTATGTACTTCCTGAGCCTTTAATTATTTTTTTTGGTAGGTTGGAAAAAGAGAACATTCAGCACAGCTTTAGCAATGAGGCAAAGACCCGAGCCCTTCAGGCCCAGCAGAGAGAGCAGGAGCTGACACAGAAGATGCAGCAAATGGAGGCCCAGCATGATAAAACTGGTAGGTGGTAGGGAAATTAGAGCTTGGGCACTCACTCACAAGCCTAGCCCACGCCTTACTGTGAAATGACATCAGGAACACCTGTAACCTTTGGCTGGCCGAAGGGAGCAGATGCTAACTACACCGGAGATTCCGAATTACATATTAGTTAGTGTTTAAAAGGGAAAATGGAAAGTATTGCCCACTGTCTGTTGATTTCAGAGTGCTGCTATCACATCTGTTGCACCATCTGGATTATGAGTTTATTTACCTGTGTTCAAGAAACGTAAAGCTGAGAGGGACCACAACAAAGTAGAAAAACAAAGGACTTGTTTTTGGCTGGATTTTCAGGCACACATGTTATATAAAGAAAATAGCATCAGAAGCGCTGCAGGAAATGCTCTGAGCTTACAGTTAAAGTCTCCTGAATAGCATTGAACAGTTCCCACAGTACACACATTATAGCTACTCTAAAAGCTTAATGAGTTTGCTTCAGAATCCAAACTGGAGAAAAGCTTTAGCCATTAATCGGTACTTAATTCACTGTCGCAGCTGGATGTAATTCACTGGCTCCAAATTAATATGTTCCTTTATTTAATCTTTGCAGCCTCACACATTTTTAGAATTTGTGTATTCTATCCTCCTCAAATCTAGATGGATGTTTAATCTTTTGTAGTTATGAGAACCAGAAGTATGCAGTTTAAATTGATAAATATGGCAACAGCTGGCAGCTTGACTGGAACCTGATGTGTTTCAGTATTTTGGCTCAACTGGTCTGCAGTTCTTTACCCTTATAGTGTGAAAATAAAATGGACTTACAGCATTGTTGACAATCAGAATGTCATGTTTCTTTCTTTTATGTGTGTGTGTGTGAGTATAGTGAGGTTTTCCCATCTCACTCCTGGTACTTCCCCCTTCTGCTGTGGTCACAGGGACCCAGAGGTCTCAGAATGGGGCTGCCTGGGGTTACCTCACCCTGAAAGCCTGATACTGGTCTATGTCACTCTCTCTATCTGGCGCAGACCTTAGACCACTGTTCCTCCTCGACCTCTGCTGGTTGTCCCCTTTTTATCCTGTTTCCCACCTGGCTATTCCTTCCCTCCTCCTTCTAGTCCCTTGAGTGGTGGATTCTCTTGTCTGTGTCCTCTCTCTACCTTCTCTGTTGATTCTCCAGTGGTCAACCTTAAACCCTTCTGCTTTGGCTCCTCCTTGGTGTCTCTGCACCCTGTCTGTCCTTCCTGTTGTGTTTGGGTGTGGCTGTGCTCAGCATCTTCCTTTGTTCCCTCTGAAATTCCCATTTCCGCTAAAGGTAAGTACTGATCCCTGCTGGACCCTTCCCTTCCCTTCCCCACTCCCCTGGGTCCAGTCTTGTGGAGTCTCCTGCTTTGGGGCCTCAGGAGTCCTGCCCTGTACTTTATTTAGTATCCAGGGCAGGCTCTGTGGGTCCCCGGGAGGTGGGGTGCCATTTCGCAATGGTGGAGGCAAGCAAGGAAGCCCTTCAGCTGACGTTCCCTCTGGTTTCAGTCCCCTCGGCGGGTTGCAGTGTTGCTGGGGACCTGCCTCCTTCACGGCTGCTCTGGGAATGCCCGCAGCTATCTGTGTCTCTGTGGGCAGCATGGAGGCTTTCTGCTGGGACTCCACTTGGCTCCCTCGGGGTGCAAGCCACGGTGGGCCCTGTTGCTCCGCAATTAAAGTGGACTTCTTTGATGTGGCCCACGGCTTCCCCCGTTGCTCCACGGTGCCGGGGAAGTCCAGAGCCAGACATATATATATCAGAGGTGAATCCTTTGCTTTTTAGGTCCACATCAGAAATATAGCATGAGCTCTAGATCTGTGCTAACTGTGCATATGTAATGTGTAAGCAGCATTGTTAACAGTGAATATAGATACGTTCTATATTTTCAAAACCAAATGTGTCTTAAACTATTGGCAGTTCACTGATCCTGCTGTTAAATAAGCTTGCAGACTACAAGTATTGCTGATCACATCAGGAGTACAGAGAATCATATACAGCATTCTGTTTGCTTATTTGTAACCCCATTCTCTAAGTATGTATATGGGTTATACAAATATTTACCTTTTTGCATTCCTTTAATGGCAGAGGAAACAAAACAAACAGCTTTACCTAAACATCATACAAATGCCCCCATGTACAAATGCTTTTGGGGCTCTACCCACTGAGATGTGACAAGCATAACTGAAGTCCAATTGACTCATAGCCTGGTTATATGGGCTATCAGTTTAATAGGCAAAAAGGATAAAGATTTAGAATTGCATGTATAACACATAAGGAGGAGGAGGAGATTGGATTTATACCCCGCCCTTCACTACCCAAAGGAGTCTCAGAGCGGCTTACAATCTCTTTTCCCTTCCCCTCCCCACAACAGACACCCTGTGAGGTAGGTAGGGCTGAGAGAGCTCTTTCAAGAACTGCTTGTGGGAGAACAGCTCTGAAAGAACTTTTAACTGACCCAAGGTCACACCAGCAGCTGCATGTGGAGGAGTGGGGAATCAAACCCAGCTCTCCCAGATTAGAGTCCGTGCTCCTAACCACTACACCAAACTACCAAAATGAAGTAGATGGATTCTTTGAGCAAAGTGGACTTGTGTAGATATTATATAAATCCCCAGTTTACTTACAACAGACTTGAGTTGTGGGTTCTCCTGAATTCCTGCATGTGGAGGTGCCTGATTCAGATTTTTTGCATGGAGAAAGGGCCTCTGCCTTTCCTGCAGTGCTATTTTGCTGACTTGAAATGGGCTGGGGGAGGTATTATTTAGCACATGTGGGGCATGTCTTCCCTGCCCTACCCATGGATATTCCCGATGGGCAAATAGCATTGCATAATGTATGAATCAGCCCTTGGGATACTGATATGGCTCATGGTGGACTATCATAACAAGCAAATGTATTCTCATCTTATTTTGCTAGTTATCATTAATTATGTAGCTAATGAGTTGTTCACATAGTGCTACATATATTACTTTTGTTTTCTTAGCCAGTGTTCAACTACTTTGAACAATGCAACACGCAAGGTCAAAATTCACAGTATTCATCCACAGCAACACAAAGTTAGATATGAGGATTCCTTGCTTTAATGCATTATACTTTCCCCCTTGTTCTTTCAGCATCTAGTACTCACTGTCACAGGGTTCTGTGCTGTCCGCAGTGCTCACTGATTGAGAATATTTGGAGCTCTGAGGTTGGATGTTATCAATATGCAGATGGAACCCAGCTCTGTATTTCATTATCTAAGTATCCAGATCTGTCAGTCTTGGTTATGAACACGTACTTTCAAGCTGTGGTCAGGTGGCTAAGGCAGAACAAGCTAAAGCTGAATCCAGAAAAGAGAGAAGTAGTGCTGGCTGGGAAGGCTGATGTTGTAGAGGTATTGCATCCACTTTTTATGGATGGAATGGAGTTGGCTTTTATAGAACAGTTAAAATCTTGGGGGTGCTCCTGGAACCACCCATGCTGTTAGAAAAGCAGGTTGGCACAGTGGCCAAGTGCGCCTTCTATCACTTGCATCTAGTTCATCAACTCTCTTCTTACTTAGGTTTACCTGATCTGGCCACACCGATCCATGTTTTTGTAAACTCACAGATGGGCCACTGTAACACACTGTGTTGGTCTGCTTTTGACGACAGTCTGTAAAGTGCAGCTCGACCAGAATGTGACTGCCCAGTGGGTGCCAGAGGCTAGCCAATTATAAGGTATCCTGCTTATCTTGAAACAGTTACATTGGCTGCCAGTTTCTTTCTGAGTTGAAGTCGATGCTGGTTGTGACCTTTAAAGCCCCTCATAACCTTGGACCCCACATATCTGAAGGACTTGTCTCCTTCTATGTTCCCGTGCTTCAACTAAGGTCATCAGGCTGCTGTCTGCTGGCTGTTCCTCCACTCAGTTGGACACCACTGGCATGTTCTGCACCCATATGGCCAGCTTAGGGCAAGTCTTTCACCTGCCTGATCTTGATCAAGGCCCAGGACTCTGCCACTCTGTGGACTAGGATCCTTGGTGAGGGGAGCCCCCTCACTGGAGATCTTTAGAAGACACTGCAAGGTAAGCTTGTTTAGCCTGGATTTTGATGTTGCATGAAGCCACCTTGAGCCAAGAAGGAAACTGGAGTATAAAATTTTAAACCAATCAATCACATTTTCCATTTTTCACCTCCATATCTCTGAAGTAGGCATTTTTATGGAATTGTTCTTGCTGTTTCATTGAACATAAAAATACCTCAGTGAGATCCACATTTCTTCTATTATTTTGATTTTTTTTGGGTAAAATGATAAAAAATTAGCATAACTGAAACTACTCATGGCTTATTTTAGGAATGTTCATTGCCAAATATCGTAGCAAGTTGTTCCTGACTGATGCTCTTGTTCTTTTTTTTAGAGTGAGATGAGATAACGATTGTTTCCACCTGTGTGCCTTTTTGGTTCTCTTGCACAAGCCCTTCGTAATTTTTGCTAGGACTCATCCTTGAATCCCATCTTCTTGTTAAAGCCTTCTACGATCACTTACTGGGATTAAAATGAACAAGAACACTAAGGAAACAAAGGAAAGATCAATAAAGAACAATAATAAAATAAGCAGCTACCTGTAAATACAAGTAGGGATGGGCATGAACTGGGAAAATGTGGTTCGGTTTGTGGTGTGCCTGGTTTGCAAACCACGAACTTTTAGGGGCTAAACAAATTAGTTTGGTTTATGACACAGTAGAACAGCCCCACTGGTGTGCTAGAGACACCAAGCTTGCAGGGGATCTCCGGCTGACTCTCTCCTACCTGCCCTTCAAGTTCGGTGAGGATTGGATTTAGGGGGGCTGAGTTACAGCCCCCCAAATAAGGTGTCCCCAGGAAAGTGCTTTCTGGGAAAATGACGGGCACAGGTTCAGGAGATTCAAGAGGGTATAGAACTGACCCTGTGCAAGCCAGAGGTATCAAACTCACAGGGAACCCCACCCTGATGGTCCTCTACGTGCCCTCCATGTTATGTGCAGATTAGACATAAGAGGTCCAAGTTCTGGTCCCCCAAAGAAGTTGCCACCAGGAAAGTGCTTATGTGTCAGGTAGCCCTGTCATGGATCTGGAATGTGGAGGGGGTTTTCTTCTCCTCGTTCTCAGCTCTACCCTGTCCAGCCACTGTGTGTTATCTCAGGCTTGACCTTGGAGTCTCCAGCTGCAATTACTTGGCTGGAAACCCAATGGCTTATGCTGGCTTTGCCGCTTGGTTGATTTGTCGCGCACGCGAAGTGTAATCATTGGCTTCTGCTCAGTTGGGGGGATGTTTCATTTTACTATAAGTCGGAGGCTCCTATACCAAAGGCTATTCCTGACACAAGCTGTATACGTGATCACTAGTTCTGGATCCATCAATAAACACTTATCTTATGAGGCCTTGTGTGGTGTGATCTGGCTAACGACCCTGAAATTATGGTGGACATGTCAGGCGCAGGTTCAAAAGTGTATGGAATGGACCCCACTAAGCTACACACACTAAATGCACAGGGAACCTCACCCTGCCTCCAGCTCCTCTACCACCTCTCTGAGTGGATTACATTTCTAGGGGCCCAGTTACAGACCCCCCAAAAAGGTCTCCTGAATTTATATCCTCCCACTC